CTGTGGTACATTTACATAATGGAATACTATGCAGAAGTAAAGAAGGAGCTCCTACCCATTGTGACAGCCTGGATGAAACTGGGGAGCATTATTCTAAGTGAAATAAGCCAGGAAGTAAGGGACAGATACCATGTGATCTCACCTTTAACAGGAACTTAATCAACAAAAGAAAAAAGAAAGCAAAATATGACCAGAGACATTGAAATTAAGAACAATCTGACAGTAACTAGAGGGGAGTTGGGAGGGGATAATGGAGGGAAGCATTTTCAGGAACAACTATAAAGGACACATGGACAAAAACAAGAGAGGGGTGGAAGCAAGGGAAGGAGGTGGGTTTGTCTGGGGTGGAGGGGAGTGGTGGGAGGTAAATGCAGACAACTGTAACTGAACAACAATAAAATAATTATAATTAATTAATGGATTAATTTACAAACTTAAAAATTGCTGGCATATAAATACAATGGAGTGTTACTTGGCCATAAAAAAAAAAGAATGGAATCTTACTATTTGCAACAGCATGGGTGAACCCAGAGGTTATTGTACTAAGTGAAATAAGTCATATAGAGAAAGGCAAATACCATTTGACATTAATTATATGTGAAGTCTAAAGAGCAAGATAAGTGAACAGACAAAATAGAAACAGACTTACAGACACAGAGAATAGGCTGTATGGTTGCTGGAGAGGAAGAGGGTTTGGAAGCTGGGTGGAAAAGAGTGAAAGATTAAGAAGTACAAATTGATAATCACAAAACACAAAATAGTCTGGGAATGTGAAGTACAGCATATGGAATATAGTCAATAATAATGTAATAACTATGAATGGTGCCAGGTAGGTCCTTGAAATATCAGGGAGACCACTATGTAAAGTACATGATTGTCTAACCCCTGTGCTGTACACCTGAAACTAATACAAAATAATATTGAATGTAAACTGTAATGGACATACAAAATTTAAAAAATTATACCAAGTACATCCTCCAATCACAATGGAATAAAAGAAATGAGAAATCAATAACAGAAGAAAGACTGGAAAATTCACAAATTTGTAGGAATTAAACAGTGCACCCCCATATATCCAATGGGTCAAAGAAGAAATCACAAAGGAAATTTAAAAGTACTTGGACAGAAATTAAAATGACAACACAATGTATCAAAATGTATGGAATGCAGTAAAACCAGTACTCAGAGGGAAATTACAGCTATAAGTATATATATTTTAAAGGATCTGATGTCAAAAAACATAAGCTCCCACCTTATGAAACTAGAAAAAGTAAACTAAACTAAACTAAAGGAAGAAATAATAATGATTAGAGTGGAGATAAATGAAATTGAGAATATAAACAACAGAAAGAATCAATTAACCTGAAAGTTGGTTCTTTGAAAAAATTAACATTGAGGAATCTCTAGCAAACTAAAAAAAACAAGAGAGATGCAAGTAATATCAGAAGTGAAAGTGGGGATATGAGTATTGACCTTATGGAAACAAAAACAAATATAAGGAAATACTATGAACAATTGTATGCCATTCAACAAATTAGATAAGCTAGATGAAATTGACAAATTCTAGAAAAAGATGACCTAAAGAAATTGACTCAAGACTTCCAGCCAAGATGGAGGTGTAGGTAGACATACTGTACCTCCTTGCACAACCAAATTTAAGGACAACAACAATTTAAAAACAAAAAACAACCAGAACTGACAGAAAATCAAACTGTATGGAAGTCCGACAGCCAAGGAGTTAAAGAAAACACATTCATCCAGACTGGTAGGAGTCTTGGCAGAGATGGCTCAGGGCAAAGTGGTGGCTGGCAGACCCAGCAAAGTGGCAGATTGTGGAACAGGGTGTGGTGAACAATGTGGCTGGCAGACCAGGCGGTCCCACATTCACATGCAGATAAACCAGGCAAAAGGGGGTATTGGGACAGACTGCACAACCTAGGGTTCCAGCACGGGGAAATAAAGCCTGAAACCACTGATTCAAAACACCTGTGAGGGTTGAGGTGCCAGGAGAAACTCCCAGCCTCATAGGAGAGTTCATTGGAGAGACCCACAGGATCCTAGAGTGTACACAAACCAACCCACACAGGAATCAGCACTAGAAGGGCCCGATTTGCTTGTGGGAAGCAGGGGAAGGGACTGAAACCTGGCAGTTAAGCAAGTGCCTTTGTTCCCTCTTGGACCCCTCCCCCACATACTTCATCACAACCCAGCTACTGGGTTGCTCCACCCTGGTGAACACCTAAGGCTCCGCCCATCACTACATAACAGGTGTGTCAAGACAAAAAAGTGCCACAAATGAAAGAACAGATCAAAGCTTCAGAAAAAATACAACCAAGTGACAAAAACATAGCCAACCTATCAGATGCACAGTTCAAAACACTGGTAATAAAGATGCTCACAGAATTGGTTGAATTTGGCCTCAAATTAAATGATCCACTGGGCAGAGGATGAACACAGACTGATACACAAGTGCATTAAACTCTGTGCATGCTATGGTCTCTCCAAATGTCACACCATTGACATATGCTATGATCTATAATCTATGGATTATAGAAGATTCTCTCCTTCTATAAGATGTAAAGAACTTCTCCAAATCAGTAAGAAAAATATAAGAACTCAGCTGGCCAATAAACACTTGGGAACACCTTGATGGTAAGGAGGAAATGGCAAACTCCAGGCCACTGACTGTAGCCCTGTGGGAATGTGGGACAAAAGCATAAAGCAGCAACCACTCCTCAGGAGAAGATGGTAGTGGGTCCAGATGCAGGGAGGACATGGTGGCCTGAGCCACCAACCACTGGACATTCAGGCCCTGGGGCCCAGGCCATTGAGCACTAACCACAGGGCCTGAGTTGAGATTGCAGGGTGGGGGCTCAAAGGGCAGCATCCTGCTTCCCTCTTGGCTTCTGGGAGTGGGCTGTGGGTGTGAGGTGCTCCTCCCCCTCCAGCGACTCTAGGAGCTGGTCAGGAACTGTACAGCTCTAGGACACACACAGAGGTGCACCTCCCAGATGCCCCTTTGAGGCAGGACTGGCTGCCTGGCCATGGAGAGAGCTGGAGCAGACCGCCTCTTGCCATTAGCAACTTCAGAGTCTGCCTCAGGGGGCTGCCTTCCCTGAGGTCACACCTTTCCTGGGATGGCTCTCAGTGCCTGAGCTGTAGCTATCAAGGCACAGGGGGACACTGATAGCCAGTCCTGCTCTCCAGTGACCCACCCCAGGGATGGTTGAGGGTTTGCTGGGCCTGTACCACTGACCTCTTCCTTTGCACAATCCCCCTTCCTCCTTTCACAAATGTTGATCCCAAATAAACATACCATCTCTTCCGTCCAGTCTCAGCATCTGTTTCTGGAGGACAAGCTCCATGATGATGGGCACCAGAGTCTCCTGCAAGTCGCCTGTGACTATGAGGGAGGAGGGAGAGGTGTCCATGAGGGTGCCGGTTTGTCCCCACTTATCCCCTCTTCATGTCCACCTTTTCTTCCCCACTGTGGCCCTGCTGATCTACAGTTACTCTGGGCCTACAACCAGCCTCACTCACTCCTACACTGAGTACAGTCATGAACCCCTTATATAATATCACTTATAGTGGTTCTGTTCTCTTATCAAGCCCTGACACAGTGTCATTAGAAGAAAAATAAAGCTTCATAAAAGATAATAAATAACATCAAATTAGAAATTGGAAAGGCCCTGCCTAAAATGTAATTTAATTTTCCTGAAAACATGTAGTTCAATGTTTACATGATGTTTTATGTAACCCTGTTGGATTTTATCAGAATGTTTCTGGATTTGAACCTGTGTTCTTGTATCTTAAATATTAAGCTACCTGTTCATATTTTAAATGAGATTTGATTCTGAAGGAGTGACATTCAAGGGTGATTTGTACTGGCCATGGGCTTTAGTGAAAGGAAAGAAACCTATGTGAGATATCAGGTGTGTGTTTTGCCTCTAGGGCACAGGTGGCAAACACAAGGCCTGAGGGCCAAATCTGGCCCTATACCTTGTTTTATTCAGCCAAGCACCTTACCTTGTTTCTACCTGGAAGCAGCACAGAGCTCCTTGCCCCTAGTTAAGGAGTAGTTACATTTATACAGTCCTAAAACTACATTCGGCCCTTCAAGGCAACTGTGAGGTTGATGTGGCCCCCAGTGAAAACGAGTTTGATACCCCTCCTCTAGGGGATAGGGGACAGAAATCTCCACTAGGAAGTGTGGAAAACCAAAGAACAGTAAAGATGTGGTTCCTGCACTCAGATTAGTAAAGTTACCTCCAAGAGCTTTGAGATGATTGTTTCTGGAACCTATGGGTCCTTGGGGCACTTCTTACCTTCTGAGGTCTGGAGAAAATAGTCTTGAACTCCATACCCTGCTCCCTGATGGTTAATTCCAGAGCCTGTGGGGTATGAGCTGCAGTGGTGTCTGGTCCCCTAAACCACACGTGGTGGCCATTGTTTCACTTCCACCTTCTAAATTGAAAACCTTGTGCAGTTTCTCTTGCAGCCAACCCTGAAATGAGCCATAAAAGAAGATAACTCTGGGAGAGGTTATCCTGGCTAAGCAAAGATGACACAGTGCAACCTCCTCTTCTTCCTCCACCACCCCCAGACACCAAACAAGACGATCACACTCCATGGGTCTTTCCAGTCACAGGTTACCCTTGCAGCATCCCAACAAAGACTGCCAAGGGTGTGACCAGCAGAACTCAGGGCCAACACCGCCACACTCCACTGAGAGCTTGGATTCCAAAGACGGTGCCTGTCCTCTCTACAGACATTCAGCCATTCATGGGAAATAAAGTGCAGGTAGTGATGACAGCAACCACTTAACAAAGTCTGTTATTTACTGTACTAAGTTATTTTAAATTAATGAAAATTCTAGTTATATACATTAACAGAATCAGTTAGATCACCCAAAGACTGGAACAAGATTCTGAAAAAAGAAATAAGTAAAAGTTACACATTCTTACAAGTAGTTTATTCAAAGCTTATTTGTCACCAAATTACAAAACATAACAATAGTAATATTGATGAGTTCACCATAAGAAGACATTTTTAAATAAACTCAACCTTTCTGTTCTAATTTGGAACCACCTACAAGATATATTATGCAAAGAACAAGATGGAACAGTATGTACTTTGTTACTATTTGTCTTAAAAGAGGGGAAAGAATATATGTGCATGTTATCTATACTTATATTTATGTATATTCTACACATGTGCATATGCATATGTTTATTTATTTATTTAGAGGGGAAGGAAAGGAGAGAGGAAGAGAAACATAATGTGTGGTTTCCCCTCATATGTCCCCAACTGGGGACCTGGCCCACAATGCAGGCATGTGCTCTGACTGGGAATTGAACTGGCGACCCTTTGGTTTGTAGCCCACACTCAATCTACCGAGCTACACCAGTGAGGGCTGCATATGCATATATTATATGCATGTGCTTATATAAATTTATACTATTTCTGGAAAGATATACATGATACTGGTATAATTGGCTGCCTCTGAGGAGGGGCAGGGGAAATGGGTAGCTGTGGGGCAGGGATAAGAAGCAGATTTTTTACAACATAATACTTCATACTTTTTAGCTTTGAATTACATGCAATTGTTATCTATTGAAAAACAAATTTAAAAGAAAATTCTAAAATAAGCAGCAATAAAACATACATTAAATTCATGACCATCCAGGGCACATTAAAAAATGCCCTTGTGGTATTGGTGGCTTACAATGTCACATAATTTTTAGAAAACTTGAGTTCCTCTTAACTTCAATTCCCAAACCTCAAATACACATTTCAGAAAGAAACAAAGAACAGCCAAAGCTGGATGGTCTCTTTAAGTGAAGCCTCACAGAGCCTGTAGGGTCTAACAGTCATCCAGGTGGAGCTTAGCAGCAAAGAGTGAGGTGATGAGGTCATCCCCAATTGTCAGAGCCAGGTCATGGGCTGTTTGGCCACTAGTATTCTTCTTTTGGATACTTGCATTGCATCTGGGAAGAGAAGAGAATGGGGGGTGAACTGAAGAACATGGGCACTTGGACCTGAAGGCCTGGCTTTTCCCAGACACAGAGGCCAGTTTGGGAGCCTCCTGGCCCCACCTTCCCAAATCTGTCCCCAAGAGGTCACCAGGACCCCTGTTCTTAAGGGTGGCTCTCAAAAGACTGAGACATTTGAGGGGCTTTCTGATTTCAAATGTTCAATTGCTAATCCTGGCCATTGGGCACCATTGCATCAAAGTCCTATGACCAACTACGTTTAAGGAGGGCAACATTTTCATTATGCGTAAAGTTAAAGGAGTTCATCATCACCAAGCCCTTATTATATGAAATGTTAAAGGGACTTATCTAAGAAAAAGAAGATCAAAATTACGAACAGTAAAATAATAACAAACTCACAACTATCAACACTGAAGCTAAAAACAAAAACAAAAACAACTAAGCAAACAACTAAAACAGGAACAGAATCATAGGATCACAGGGAGGGTTAGCAGCAGGAGGGGCAGGGAGGAAATGGGGGAAAAGGTACAGGGAATAAGAAGCATAAATGGTAGGTACAAAATAGGAGAGGTTAAGAATATGTAGGAAATGGAGAAGTCAAAAAACTTATATGTACATCTCATGGACATGCAGTAAGTTGGGGGGGAATGCTGGTGGAAGGAGAGGTGCACAGCATAGGGGAATAAAGGGGAGAAAAAATGGGACAACGGTAATAGCATAATCATAAAAATATACTTAAAAAGTAAAATAAAGAAAGAATAGCTCAGACTGCCTGGAAGCCATGGTGAGACAATGGCCCCCATTCACAGGATGAATCATATATTCAGGCACCAGGGCCCTCTGAAATCACCCCAGGTAAGCAGTGGGAATCACTAGGGCCCTCCAAGTCTCCCCAGGGGCCAGGGAACATACCCCAGTAAAGCAGCAATGCACTTCCTTCCTGCCAGGCCAAGCAGAGCTGCTTCATGAAGAGCTGTATTTTGGAGGCTATTTGGGAAAAAAAAAAATTATGCTGGCTAAAGGAACTGGAAAGGGAGCACATGACCAAAGATGCCTTTGTTTCACCCACTGACCTACTTAACAAATTAGGATAATCTCTTCTGTCACCCCTCACGGCTACTTCCCTTGGAGAAATACTGTGATGGTGGCTAAGCCGTGATATTAGGTACAAAGTGAAACACCTATGAACACATTTACTTATTTTTTAATCCTCACCCAAAGACAGTTTCCATTGCTTTTTAGAGAGAGAGGAAAGGAGAGAGCAAAACATCAATAAGAGAGAAACATTGATTGGTTGCCTTCTGTACACTTGCGTACCAGGGATCATAAGCACCTGGACTGACGATTGTGTGTGTCTGGATCAGGGACTGAACTGCAACCTAGCTATGTGCATGACTGGGAATGAAACCCCCAACCCTTTGGTTATGGGACAATGTTCCAATCAATTGAGCCACACAGGACAGGGCAAAACACATTTATCTTTTAAAAGTGAGAAACCCCACAAGGATCTGGTTTGTAGGTGATTTAACAAATACTAATAAAACTATTTTGGTAACTTTCCACAGTTTATGGAACATACTAGACATAGTCTCAATAGTGGCTTGGTCCTCTTGGGCATTGACCATAGGATAATAACATTTTAGGGCTGAGGCTCCTATTCTTCACTTGATCTTAGCCAAAAGGGCGAGAAGCAATAAGAGGCTCCTATTCTTATTTAGGGAAAATGACTTTGGCTTCAGCTAGTTGGGGTGGTATGATATGATAGTAAACCCCAATCTTAGAATCCACAGAGGAAGTACTACAGGTCAGACAGAACATACTTTACTGAAGGCAAGACTGTCTCTCATCCTTGCCTGGAAGGTGCCCAGAGAGGGAGCAATAGATAGCTGAAATGAAGGATTGGGTGGTACCTGTATTCTAGAACTCATGAAAGCCTCCTGATCCAAGATGGCAGGAAGATGGTACATGGGAATCATGACTGGAGTAGAAACGAGATGAGCAAATGTATTTTGCATTCTCCAAGACCTGCTATTTCCCTGATACCACCTCCATCCCTTGTACCAGCAGATGTACCTGCAGCCATAAATTTATCCCAATGGAGAAGAAATATACGGTGGCCTCTTCTCTGAACAAGATAAATGGAGTCTTTGGTGAGAATCAGGTCAGCAACTGCCATGTCCAGAGGGAAGTATTCCACTTGTCCCAGCCAGAGAGCAGCTTTTTCTACCCCTCAAAACTCCCCAGTTGACAAGCTCCACCCATGTACACAGAATTCCCACTCATCCAGCCCATTCCCGATTCTAAACATGGATAAACAACAAAGGATGGCAAACATCTGAGAAAAACCAAGACATGAAAACATAAGAAATTTTTTAAAAGAAGAAATCATAACCAGTATCCTGAAAAGGATTGAAGATAATATCAAAGAACATGTGGTTATGGAGAAGAAATAATCAGAACAAAAAGTAGCTCTTAGAAAGTAAAGATATGATTGTTTTAAGAAAATCTCTTAAAACAGAAAAGGGGAGATGAAAAAAATAAAAAAGAAAGATATAGGGTATCAATCCAATAGGCTCACATCAAACTAATAGGAGGCTCAGAAAGAGAGAATTTTAAAAATGGAGAGGTGAAAATATCGAAGAGGTAATAGAAGAAACTTCGTTTGATCTGAAGAAAGACATGACTTTTCAGATTAAAGGACCAACTGGGTGAATGAAAAACAGCACATAAAAAAATCCCCTTGTGAAATTTCCAAACATCAAGATAAATGCTTCCAGAAGAACAAATAAGTCACAAATGAACAAGAATTTACTGTAGAATTGTCATAGGTTATGTGGGATGCTAGAAATCAAGGCAGCAAGACTTTCTAAGACTTGAAGAAATTTTATTTTGAACTCAGAAATTAATATTAGTCAAATATTAAGCAAGAGTAAATTTTTTAAAAGTCATTTTTAGGGCATTCAGGGGCTCAGAAAGTTATTTCTACACACTCTTTTTTTAAAAATTTTATTTATTTATCTTTAGAGGGGAAGGGAAGGAGAGAGGGAGAGAAACATCAATGTATGGTTGCCTTTCATGTGTCCCCTGCTGGGAATTGGCCTGCAGGGAACTGGTCTGCAACCCAGGCATGTGCCCTGACTGGGAATCGAACCTCGATTGTCTGGTTCGAAGGCCCGTGCTCAATCCACTGAGCTACACCAGCCAGGGCTCACACTCTTTCTGAAGAAGTTACCTGAGGCCACATTTTATCCTGGCAAGGGTCAAAACCCAGAAAGAGGAAAATGTGAACAATAACTTCAGGTGGATTCCAATTAAAAAGGAATCATATAATGTCCACTGTGCAGCAGGGCTGGAAAGCTATCAGGCAAAACCTGAATCAGAAGTATACTCTAAGAAAAATGTCTCTAAGAAGAACAGCATTGAAAAAGTAAGAAACACTTTCAGTTCAGGTTCCCCAGATATATGGCTACAGCGCATGGGCCTGAAATGAACGTGGATGGTGGCAAGGAAAAACTGAGCAAAAATGAGCTAAAGAGACACCTGAATGCTGTAAAGAAAATAGTGGAGAAGGAGGACATGAAGAAGGAGCTCAGCAAGAAACAACTAAGCCAGGCCAATGCTGCTGCCACCAACCATACCACTGACAATGATGCAGGTGCCAAGGAGGAGGGCCTGGACCCAAACCAACACTGCAAGATCCTCAGCCAAGCCATCCACCAACTACAGGTCAATATGGAAAACCCATACCCACACAAGTTCCATATAGATTTCTCGCTGACTCACTTCATCCAAGAATACAGTCACCTGTAGCCTGAGGACCACCTGAATGACATTACCTTAAAGGTGGCAGATAGGATCCATACCAAAAGAGCATCTGGGGGAAAGCTCATCTCCTATGACCTTCAAGGAGAGGGGATCAAGTTGCAAGTCATGGTCAATTCCAGGAGTTATAAATCAGAAGAAGAATTTATTCATATCAATAACAAACTGTGTTGGGGAGACATAATTGGGGTTCAGGGGAATCCTGGGAAAACCAAGAAGTGTGAGTTGAGCATCATTCCCTATGAGATCACACTGCTGTTTCCTTGCTTGCATATACTACCTCATCTTCACTTTAGCCTCAAAGACCAAAGATATCATCAGAGATACTTGGATGTAGAGAACCAGTTTGTTTTAATCTGGCAAATGTGACTCAGCTCTGTGTGGAAAACCTATACAAGCAAAGTGGTGGGCAGGAGCCAGACCTTGAAACCGAGTTTTCCCATGGCAACCAAGCCTAGAAAATGCACACAGATTGCTATGGCTTGCTCTTGCTAAAACTCCATCACCCTGGTCTAAAACAACAAATGTGTATCGTCTATCTTCAAGGTAATATCCAAAGCCTGTATGAATTTTCCCAAGGACAGAGCTAATCAGCTCATTGCCATTCCCCTCTGCATGTTATTTTCATTTCCTTAATTGTACCTAAAATGCAGACAATAATCTATGTAACAGGTAATAAATCTTTCTCTGATGTAAGACCTGAGGAAAAACAATAAAAGCCTGGCTAGGCAAGGGTCAGGGCACTCTCCCCTTGAGATAGTGACCGAGGCATCCATTGACACTCTCTCCTTGAGAGAGTAGCCATGCCGTTCCCTTTTTCTTCACAGGATTGTTGACACATATACATTAATTCTCATCATTAGCCACAACAGGCAGGCTCTGCTGGCCAGAGTCTGCCTCATCTGGTGCCCAGGGACCCAAAGGCTACCAGCTGTCATTGTGGTCAACACACCAACATGGGTGGAACTAGCACAACAGCCCAGGTAAGGGCCAAAGACCCCAAGTGCCTTTCAGAGGGTGTAGGGTGTGTTGTATATTAGGGGAAAAGGGTATCTTTTCAAGGTTGCCCTCTCTTGCGACCCCACTCTCTTTAGTAAGCAGAAGCCTTATTCTCTCTCTCTGGCAATTGCCGTATCCCATGGGCATGGGTCAAGCATTTAAGATCCATAAGGGTGCTTACTGCAGCAAAGCTACCCATGACAGGATGAGCTGGACGTGGGCCAGGAAAGAACACTAGGTTTCCTGCCAACTGCAAGCAAATGCCCATGCAATGAGAGGCACACTGTAAAAACATTCACAAGCTCATCCCCGTGGCACAATCCCCAATCAGGTTTTAGGGTTGGGAGAGAGAGCAATGAATTTTCCTTTCAATTAGCCTTTTTTTTTTTTACAAGTGCCTCTCCACATTCTTTCTTTAAAAGCTGCTTTTTGCAGCCTTTTTGATTCTGCCTTTTCCCTCTGCCTGCCTGTGAACAGAAAAGCAGATAGTGAGTGTTTCAGTTTTAAATGGACTTCAAAGTTTTCTTTGAGAACTCAGAGTTAGTTAACAAGGTTGTTTGTGGGTGTCTCAGCTTCTTGTTGGAGCACTGAAAGTAAGGGGCATTCCTCCCTCCAGCTTGAGATCTCAAGCCTTCCTACATGAGTAGGGGCCTTTCAGAGGTGTCTGGGGTCAATCTCTGAGATGTTCAGGGGCCTCATAGGGAATTCCAATCACAGTAATTTAACTCTCGGCTCAGTCAGGGAGCGTGATATAAAGGTTGGTCACCTGGTCCTTTGAGCACCTCCTCACAGTCTTAGACATGTGGGAAAAACCTGAAACCCATAAGCGGGGTTAGGGTACCCTGCATACCAGGCAGCCCTCCCTGACGGTTTTCACCAACAGTACATTCTGGACCCACTACACTATACTCCCCAATAGCTAATTAGCTAGGGTTTAGTATGGGCAGCAGAGTCTGAAAGGGCAGAAATCGAAAGTAAAAAAGAAACCTTTTAACAACAAGAATGGGCTCTAACCTGTCTAAACAGCAAGAAGTCTACCTGCGTGTGTTGCAGTAACTTCTCTGAGGATCAGGATGTGAGGTAAAACAACATCTTACACAGCTTTTACAAACTATAAAAGAATATTACCCTGCTTTTTTCTGATAAGGGAACCTTAGATATTAGGG